TTATAATTAATAATTCTATAAACACCGTTTATTTAAAATATTAATCTTACAAATAATATTGTAGAAAGTAATATTAAGTAATTATTTGTAATGGTTGTTATTATGAAGTTGCCATGTTTAACTGTTATGATAAATTACATTAAAATTAAATTTAAAGTACTTCTTGTATAATTAAAAGTGCCAAGTAACATAAGTGATAAAATTATTCTCCTAAATGATCTTCTAATTACCTTGCCCTACATACCTTTTAATTATTGTAGGAATGAAAAATGTACAAACAGTTACAATATCTTATTATTTATAAAATAATTTACAAAATAAATAAAGAATTCAAAATCAACGATATACTTTATACGATATACGAAATAAAAAGACGTTAAGTTTCATAATCATGATTAGAAGTTCGAATTAGTGTTACATTACGGCTGAACACTTGTTACAATGATGTCTTTTGTACGGGGCACATTATACATGCACGAGATCGAAATATGTTAATTTCGAAACGTAAGTATCGTTCAACAATCATCTTATCTATATTTGATATTTTTATATAAAAGAAAAATTCTTTTCTATAGAACACCATAGAACATTTATTGTATGACATATTGTTCAAATATACTTCGAAATTTTAGTTTCGAGCTCTTGCTTAATTATTCTTCGGTATTAGGTACTCCATATTATTTAAATATAGGTGATAAATGAATTTTTGTTCACATTTATTTGTTGAAAGCTACATCCACCGAAACGTTCAAACCTACGAAGTTTTATGGACTTTTATATCTGTTAAAGGCAACAAAATGTAAAATTCGACAATGTATAGGTACACTGCCTTGGCAATGTAAGTACATACATATTGCTTGGACTTTACACCTTGCCGTTAACATATCTAATTCATGATCATGGATTGCGCAACGCTGTACAATACAGTAAATACTAACTTTACAATCTCCTAATTTTACAATACCGATTTTGATTTTACTGAAATTGCATGTTTACAAATGTTACTAGTGGTTTTCATCACTATAGTTACGTTTGACTTTTTATACTTATTCTTCATTTATAAATTAATTAGGTAACATATTATACAGTATTTCTATGAAGAAAATAAGAGTATTTAATAATTAATCAGGAAAAACTTCTATTGTACATGGTGAACAAACACAACGTAACCCATTTCTATTATTTTTGTTGTTAACATGTTAAGCGCCAAGTTTTGTCTTCCTTTCCGTTTAGCCCGCGAAATCCGATTTCTTCGATATGCTGGCGGCCGGAGATCTGTGTAAGGTTGCGATGAGACTGCGTGTGTTTCAATAATACACTCATTAAAATTTTTTTTTGGTAACAAGTAGTATTTAGGTGCATTCTTTTATGTTCTCCAAATTATTTAAAGTTTATTAATAGAAGAATATAATTTTTTAAATTGTATATCGTCATGGCCTGAACGAAAAGTATACTGTCAGTCACCGGTGACAGACATGGCGCTTAACGTGTTAATGAAGCAATCAAAATTTTTTTGTGATAGATGATAAATACGGTTTTTAAGGATTTTCATCAAGGTGATGAACAGTAGATTATTTCTATGTATAAAGAGAGAGGGAATTGCTTCAGTCTTTCAGAAAAACAAAGTTTTCACAATTAAAAGCGTCGGGGATTCGAACCCGCGCGATCTTGAAAGATCCATAACGTCACTTGACCAGTCGCTTTAACCACCGTAGCTATCTCACTTTCTTCTATTTTCGTACGGGTTTTTTTACTTCCCTGAATATTTTTTTGTGGGGTACGTTAAAAAACAAGTGTACCAGGATGTTCTAACAATGGCGAAAAATACCAAATTAATGGCCAAAATGCGGCAACGGATCATAGATGCATGTTCAGTATTAACCCTACTGCGTTCTTCGTTTTGGCTGTACACTTAAGGCTTTTGGGTCAAAAAGGACCTAAGACCTTATGTGTAATAATTTTTGTTTCCAACGCGACATATGAACCTAGACAATAAATGTTTAAAATAATGTTAAGGAACGTAAACTTGATAACAGCAAAAATTACTAAAAATATAAAAAGGCGGTGGGTCAAAAAAGACCCGAAGACCGCTCTAAGGTTAAATTGAGACAATTACAAGTGCATAGAAACTGGCGGTCGATATTTTGAACACATAAGTAAGTACTGTGAATTTAAGTAAGCTCGAAGCTTAATCTTCCGTAGGGAAACATATTTTTTCACGTTCCGTAAGCGAACTTAGATCGTCTGTGTCCAAGTCTAATTTTTTTACTGTTTTACACTTTCGAAAGATCTGAAATAATTCTGAGGTACTCATCAGAGTCTCTACCAAATTATACAATTGTTCGTTAAGTTAAATGTGTAAAACATTTTTTCTATAAAAATAACAAATTATTTCGAAGAAGTACAAGAGTGAAATTTCTCTTGGGTCTACAACGACCCAGATTGCCTACGGAGGGTTAAGGTTCGAGATATCATATGACATTCATCTTGTATCAAATCACTTTTCATTTCAATGTTTTTATCGCCGTGTCACTTTATTAGATAAAAAAAAAAACGTTTTTATTAAGTTCGTTGAATTTGTCTCAACATCTGCTATCTGATAGGTAAACAAGCTATAGGGTTGTACATAAAAAAGCTGAAAGTGATCTTGCAAACTTATTTTAAAGAAGACGGGAGAAATCTAATGTCATCACCTTGAAGATCTTTCAAAACGTATCGTTGGATTGTTAGCGTTTTGAAGGGCAAACACAAACCAGACTCATTTTCGCCAGCGACACATTTTATCGGCGTGTTGACTGCTAGGGGAAAAACACAAAAAGACGTGTGTGCGTAGTCGAGGGAACGAGGAAAGCGTGTTGCAAAAAAAGCAGCGTGGGATGAGAATTGGTGAAGAGTGGAACTTGAGTGGAATAGCGTGGACTTAGAATAAATAGTAATAGCTGTTATAGTTTCATAGTTATTTAGCCTTAACACGTTAAGCGCGGCGTCAGTCCGCGGTGACTGACAATGAATTTTACGTTAAGCGCGGCGTCAGTCCGTGGTGACTGACAATGAATTTTCCGTTTAGGCGGCGTCAGTCCGTGGTGACTGACAATGAATTTTCCGTTTAGGCGGTGTCGGTCCGTGGGGACTGACAGTGAACTTTTCGTTTGGGTGGCGTCGGTCCGTGGGACCGGCAGTATTATGTTTAAAGTCTTTTTTTTGGAATTTATGATCACTTATTCTATCAACCCGGATTGGTATTTCTTCGTCTGAATGCCGTGTGAGCGCATTTGTTATCTTCTGTTTATACTCTATAACCGAACAGCTCGGGAAGTGATCGCCGCTGTGTGCCGCCTGAACGGAAAGCAGAGAGAAATCGGCTCCGCGCTCAACGTGTTAAGTATATTATCATTAATAAACATTTATTATTAAAAGCTCCCATAAGCTCAATCATGGAACCATCCACATCCCCTACAGTAATAAAGAAAAGTTTTAATCGGTCTATTAAAATCGAAAATAATAGAGGTGGTTACGTTATGCGGTTCACCTTGTACATGTACGTATGTATATCACAAAAATATTTCTGTGTGTGCAATTTAAAAAGCAACAACGAATAAGACATTAACAAAGTTACTCTTGGTGGAAATATGTAGTGTCACACATTATTTAGTCCATTTTACATATATATGTATGTATTAGTTATTATGTTTAAATCCTAATTGTCATGTATTATTATATCCATAATAAAATATAGAAATATTTGTTTTAATATTATTTTCTTTGTTCAGATTTTTAAATATTTCACTGATAATTCAGTTTTTAATAAAAAAAAAAAATAAAAAAAAAAGTCACCGAATAGAGTGCAATCTGCTGCAACTTTAGAATATTGAGACATATATTCGTGAAATATTCAAACGTTGCAGAATGAAATAACGAAATTGAATAATTCATTTCTAAGGTAAACATGTAAAACAGGTACAAGACATATCGCAAGCGTGAAACACAACCCCTTAACTAATTGCAAATTTCCTGTAAAATCCAAAAACAGTTTCACAAATTATGTACTTTCGTAAACACCTACAATGAATAGAAATGAAAATTGCGACATTTGTGCTGCTTTTATGAATGTAATATCGAGGGTAAAATATGTACAATAAAAAAGAAATATTGCCTTTTTTTTTAAACGTTGCAACTAACGAGTATTAGCACGAGGATTAAAATGAACAAAAGTAGCGGAGGGATATTAAAACGTATCAATTGGAAAAAAGTATCAGCAATATCGACATACGTAGTTCGTTAACTTAAATGAGATTGTCAGTCATCTATTAGGTCGCGTTAATCTCTGAATAAATCCTTAAATGAAGAAGCGTTAATTAATCGTGCGAGACCCGTACTTGTGTTTCCATACTACTTAACGAATAGGTCTTTCAAGGAAGAACAGATTGAAGGTTCACAAGATTCGGCTTGCTCTTGGTCCTTGTTGCCACTTGAAAACCAACTTGCTACTTTGCTCGATCTTGGTTTGTTCGGTGACACCGAGGCTTTCCCGGTTGATCCGGACGATTCCGCGTCGCTTCCCTTTTGCGCTGTTAAAATCTTTTCGATCGCGGTGCCTAATACCTGTAAACATAGTTTACTTAAGTTTTAGTATAATCGAGTCATATTGGAACGAGTTCCTGTTAATAGGAGCAGAGAATAAATTTTGTAGAGTTTAATGAGCTTTTAAGGGTTATCCTGATCGTTACCCGAGTAC